GGGGGGGGGGAATATATTCTCCATAGCGTGGCTTTAAGGAGTTTTATCCTAAAAAAGCAAAGGATTGACTTTTTCTTATTCATCCCCCATTTCCCTGGCGGACCATTCGAGATCTACTCGATAGGCCCTCGATAGAGTGAATCAAGTTGTGCACTGAGTCGATAGGTGTTCGAGATTGAGTCGATGGTAATGTGGATCCACAGTGCACAACTCGATCCACCCTATCGAGTGGTCCGCCAGGGTTTGATAATCAGCAGGATTGTCTATGAATTTTCTATGAGTTTTTTTCAGATCCACTTTTCCCGTTATTAACAATCGAAGTCTATTTTTGTACACATGCAGTTATGGAGATTTTTTGATTTAGGGCAAAACATTATTATATCAGATGATAACGTAGTTTGATCCTAAGCTGGAAAATGTCTATAATTCAAAAGGAGACTTCAATCGTTAACAACTTATGAAAAGATCTACGAAAAATGAACAAAATAGATATATTTTCACATTCATAATTTTGTAATGATTATCAGTATCCTGTATGAATCACAAAAAAAGTTTATCGTTTACCTTTATCCAATAAAACCTAAACAAAATTCTTCCAGGAACAGGGCCTGGGAAACGTGATTTTCTGGCCGCACAATGTGCAGAAAATGCTATCTATCAGGCCCCAATCTGGAAACTAACATAGGTGCAAAAGGTTCAGAAGCCTAGAAATGGGTGGCAAATGTATACTTTAGCCCCACCATAAATAAATATCAGTGAAACTACTATTTCTTTGACATTAACCAAATTGCATTTATATTGAACCTCTCATTTGCAATCCAAGAGGTTTCCTAATATCTAAACGAGGATTCACCTGTAGATGTACATAAATCCTAATTAGTACCATCTATTGGAGTTGATTCTATATCTAAGGTGATTAAGGCCGACTATGTGCATAACACAATTAAAGCAATAACCTAACATAAAAAGATCCGCTACAGGCCTATGAAGAATTACAAAATACTCTGTTATCATTTGAAAGAATAACTTTTTATATTATATCCGAAAGACTAACATGGCAGAAAATTAATAAGAAGCTAGAAAAAAATATAACCATTCTTCATCAATATCAGTGAATGGTTGATGCCCATATTTTTGTTATTTGTAAATACTACACGACCAACGTATTGCAATTATGTCACTCACTTTTCTCCACTAAAGTAACAAACGGACGTGTGACCCTCTGGGTGAGCATATCTCATCGGTTTTAATATTAACGGCATTTTGACTACATATATAATAAAAAAACTGATTTAAATTCACTATCAGAAATTATACGGGAGATCAGCCGCGTTTATGGTAGAGGTTCAACGAGGTTCAAAGAGGATTGGGTTGGGGTCAAGTATATCGGGATTGAAGTGGCCTACAGAGACATCTTAATGAAATTCAGGGAGTTGGCAACGTGGAACAGCCATAAGGAGAGCTCCGAGAAGTTATCAACTTATTATTCTAATTAATTATCCCGCACATGCCCAATCGTTTGAAGGTCCTTTGCAGGTCTATGATAGATAAGAATTATTGTTTGATCGATCATCGTTTTTTTTTCATGAATTTTTCAAACAAATGAAATATTTCTACGGAAGTTATCATCTTTTTTTTTTAAATTTAACCCTAGAATGTTTAATGACCGATCAAACGATCGAGAATCGTTTGCAGGTGATTGATAGATGATCATCAATCTTCTACAGAACACCAATTATTAATTAATAATTAAAAATCATTTTGGAGTAAGTCGTTGCAGCCCTGGCGGTGACTGGTAGTTGGCACCACATAATTGAAAATTCATTAGTTTTTTCATTTAGATCAATAGTAGGACCTTTGTACATCATTGTAATACAATTAAAAAATTTTGTAGACCCTTCATTATTTTTTAATTAATTAAACAAAATAATGATGGGAAGTTAGCACCCCACCTCACTAATTTTTATTTGT